GCTAAGTCCCGAAATTTCTGAGAATTTGCCCGAACTGGGCCCTTATTTGTTAGCAAAAACGTGTGGCGCGGACCACCCCCATAGTAAAAAGTTCCCCACCAGCACTTTCTGGCCACCTTAACTGTTGTGTGCCATTTGGACCCCCAACCTTGGTCGGTGAGTCTGTGTAGAAGCGATCCCGCTCTGATTGCCTGTGATGGGAATGCCGCCGGTCTACTCCGTGGATATGATATACGAGGATAGAGAACCTGGGGGGTCGAGGATGTTCGCAGCGGGGAGCCTTTGGCAGGGTGATCCTCGTCGGCGCTGTCCCTGGCCCCATGGGTTACCCTCTTCGTACATCTGACCCACGGTGTAGCCCTCGGCGGTCTCACCCAGGGCATTGGAGCCCAGGATCGCGACTCGGGCCCTGGGATGGGGCCCGGGGAAGCCCTGAGGGGCGGGGGGAGCGAGGTCGCCAGTTGGCGGCCGGGGGGGTGTTGGGAGGTGGCGATGGAGGGGGATTTCGGGGATGGACGGCGATGGGGGAATCGGGGCGCGGCGACGCGCGCAAAGAGGTATGGGTGTCGGCGGGCTCGAGCCCGGGGTGCGGCCGCGGCGGCGAGGGCGGGGGACCACTCGCCAGTTGGCGCCGGGGGCGAAGGGGGGCTGATCTCGCCAGTTGGCAGCGGGGGCGGGGACGAGGCCAACATTACATGTGGATTGGCATGTTATCAGGATGTCGGATGTACAATATATATCTGCAGGGCCTAATCCCTTCCTAACATGGGCCGACGGGTTACGCAGAGGATGGAAGTGAAGATATATATCCACATCGACAGCAGTTCATTGGCATGATGGATGTATATATATACTTGGGCATACAGATTCACACATCAGTAGGCAGGCGGGAAGGGAACAGTCTTGTCTATTCTATGATATTAGATCGTATATTTAAAAATACCCTTGAACCATATAATAAGGTTTTCTTTATATTTCCCTATGACAAATAATATTGATGCCTTAGGTAGATTAAACTAAGACCTAAGGCGAGCTGTTAAATGAATGGATCAGTGGTTAGGCGGATTGATGATAATTCATCTCTGGATCCCTCTAGCTTTCTCCATGGTCTTATTCGAAAAACGGGGTATTTAGTCTAAGGATAATAGGGATCCCATCTCATTCTAGTAAGAATCAGTCTTATATATAATAAGATAATGTTATTAAGATATCCCTTATCACTATTAATTTGTAACTTTATTATTATCTATTTATATTCCTCCTCTTATTAATAGACCTTGACAACTCCTATGGGACTTAAAAATTTTTAGTCCCAGTTCCTGGTCCTATTAGTCCTATGGGACTAAAGAAAATCTTAGTTCTAAAGCCCTAGTATCCCCATAGGACTTCTATAGGGGTAATGAGACTCCCATATGGTCCCATTAAATATATGTAAAAGGTTATACGTTGTCAGGTGTAATGCCTGTCAACTCGGTAAGAGGAAGGATAAGAATAGACGTCGATATGGTTACGAATCAATGATAAATAGGAGGGGATTCAATAGTATTGTCTTTATTGAATACAAGACTGATTCTTGATCAGAATCAGAGAGGAGCCTCGCTTCCCTCTTCTTAAATACCCGATCCCTCGAGGGAGCCATTAAGTCCTGTAGGCTATAGGAAGTCTTCGTCAACTCGTCATCGATTTGTATGACGTTTTGATCCTTTTCGGTAGTCTCCCAATCCATAAGCTCCGAACCCCTGAATGAGTTCTCATTGCCTGGAATATCAGGCATCCATTGTCACGGAAAAGTATGGAGAAGAACCCCGTTACAATATACAACTAAACCTGGCAGTGACCCGCGGGTGACCCTCATGACCCTCGGACCGCCCCGCCACTAGAGCGCTTCGAGGGTCCAACCTTCCGACCCTGAGGGTAGTCCACCTAGAGGTTAGACCCTCGGTGGGTGAACCTCAGGGTCACCCGCGGGTCCACAAACAGGACAAACAGACAAATCTCGTGACATGCATAATTTATGTAGATTTGCCTTATATTTTTGAGTATCTCAATCACAGTGACTGAACTTCTTTAAGGAATATTTTATAATCATATAATGTTCTAAGATTATAGAAGCTTTTTAAGTACAATTTTAATTCTAGTTTCTATCCACTACATATCTATCAAGCCTTCTTAATATCTTTCGAACTTTTCTAGATAATCGAGAAAGAGGAAGTCCACTATCTTTATCGATATTATTCTCTAGATTAGATTGTATCTTATTATCTTTACTTAGTGAGCTACTTCTTTGTCTTCTTTCGAGAATAGAATTTAGAGATAGTTATAAAATAGATAATAATTAGATTTGTTTAATCATATCTTTCTTAGTATTACTAATTAGTTTAAATAAGGTAGTATCTATACTACTTATCTCTATTAAAACTACGATCTATTAAGAAATTAAATATTCCTAGAGAATTAATCACTAGTTCTTTTATAAATTAAATCTTATTATATATATAAATATTATAATATCCTAAATTATCTTTAGCTTTAGTAAACCTCGTTGATAATAACAAACATTGTATATAAAGTTAAATAGCTGCTTTATATCTATACTAATAGCTAGAATAGATATAATATCACAAATAATATTTGTAAGAATAGGCTATTTGTATTAGCTATCTTTTTAAAAAGCACAAGATAATAAATACTATAATATTAGATTTATATAAAAGTTAATTAGATATAATAAATAAAGATAGATATTAAGATTAACTAATATCTAGATATTAAGTTAGCTTATCTTTATTTAATATATTAAATTATAGAGAGTTATTTAACTTTAATATAAGTTTAAACTTAAATATTCTAACTTTTAATAATAAACTATTTAATGATAACTGACTTTATCTAATATTAAGTTATTTTTTGTAGAGTTTAACTTAGATTTTAAGATTATCTCTATAAATATCTTTTTAGAAGTTTTAATAGGATCTTTAGATTCTTATTCTTTTATAAAAAAGAATTAAAGCTTTTAAAATAGAGACAAAATTATATTAATAGTATAAAGATATTTATTAATACTATTTCTATCTTTATAATATTTTAAAAGTTTTTTTAATATAGTTTTAAATATAGATTATATAAGTTATTTTTAAGGAACTTTCTTTTGTTTTAATATAGTAATTACACGTTTAAAATAATTAAAAAAGTGATTATATATTATAAAAATAAAATAAATACTTAAATCTTTAGTCTATAATATAAAACTAGTAGACCTAAAAAATAGCTTAAAAATAAAAAACAGATATTCAATCTATCTCTATTCTCCTAGACTTAGTATAAAATAAAGCTACTTATACTATAAATAAAAGATATTAAAGACTAATTATAGCCTCTTTACTTATTAAAATATTAGAAATATTGAGTTCTATTATATTCTTATATCCTAGATTAGAATAAGTTTAGACTTTTAATCTTAAAGGATATAAAATATATCTTAACGTTATAAGCTTATATTAATATAAATAGTAAGACTATAAATCTAGATTAACAATTAATATATAAAAATTATATTAAAAAATCAGATTATTTTATCTTATTAAGAATATCTATAATCTTATACTTTCTTTAATATACATGTAACACTCTTATATAATTATTAGATTAATTTAGTTTAGTAGTATTATTACTTAAAGATATTTTTATCTTTCCAAATAAATCTATAAGACTTATTTAAATAATATAAATAATATATAATACATAGATAATAGTAGAATTAATGCTTGATTAAACAATTTTTACTAAGTCATTTACAGTCTAAACTAATATTATATTATTTGAGATATTATTAATAGTAATTATAAATACTCGATTAAGAATATTATACTTTTATAATATTTAAATAATAACTTTATTAAGATTTATACTAAAATAAGTGTCAAAGAATAACTCAAAGTTAAAGAGAACCTTTTAATACTTTTATTTTTCATCTAAAGAGTAGCTTATAATTACTATAAATATTTATTAAAATAGTAATATCTAATAATCTAATATAAGAGAGAGCTTTATCTTTAGTAAGAGATTTTAAAATAGTCTCTCTTAGTATTTAGTAACAAATCTTTTTAGCCGTTTACGGATAATACGTTATAAAGGAATAATAGATATAATTAAAATAAGACGTATATATTTAATTATATTAGTAAACTTCTAATATTTAAGAAATAAAAATAAAAGATATAATATAATAATAAGATTTAATAACTTCTACTCTTAAATATCCTGTAAGAATATAAAAGTTAATATATTCAATATCTATATATAGATTAATAAAGAAGATAATATTAAGAAAAATAACATATAGTTATTTTAAATAAAGTCTTAATATTTAGTCTTCTTAATATAAATTTTATATAATTGACTCTCTTTTAATACTTATTTATAGATAAAATGCTTATATAAATAGCTATAAGATGATTAAAAACCTTTTAACACTATTTATATATCATATCTAGCTTCCTATCTTTTATATTTGCTACTTGATTAAAAGAGTTCCAATATTTAACTTAATAATATATATCCTAATTAATATACTTAGACTTTCCAAATTCTATCTAAAGCTACTATTCAACAAATTCCTTACTTATTATATCACTATATAAGACAAAGAAATTAATATAATCGAGATTGAATATTATAATAGAAAGAGACAAAGATAGATATTATAAAAGATTTAAAAAAACAAATTGAGAATTATTATATATTAATATCAAGATTTATTAACTATCTAATATATAAGAGATTATAAATAAAATATTATCTAAAACAAGATATTAAAGAATATCTAATAATACCCTTTTATAGTTTAAAGAAATATAAATATTAGAAAATTGTAATATACTTAATATAGATATATAATAGAAAAATAGTAAAAAGTAGATAACTTATAATTAATTATTTTCTCAAAGTTGAATATAAAAGACGTAAATATATAATTTACTAAGTTAATATATTATATTCTTAAATAAGCTATTATTATTAATTGATTTATTATAGATTACTTATAATAAATCTTAACAAACCTATAGATCACTTTTAATAAACCTTATAGACCCTCTATAAACCTTATTAACTTTCAACAAACCTTATAGATCTTCTATAAACCTTATTTTAACTCTTAGTAACCCTTTTAAACCCTTCACGAACCTTATTCTAATCTTTAATAAATCTTAGACCCCTAATAAATCTTTTAATTAATATAATATATATTATAGATATCTATTTCTACTCTATTATAGACTAATAACTTCTACTACCTATTATATCTCTTTTCTATAGTCATATAACGTAAAAGAAGTATAAAAGTAATAGAACTATTATCGAAAAACAATATTATTAAAATAATTTAAGACATTCCACAACTTTAATAGTCAAAAGTCGATGTTTATAGTCTAATAGACAAAACAGATATAAATAACAATATTTTATCAAGATAAGTAAGCAGTTTTATCCACCTACATTAGGTTTAGCACTAGAAATTTATGCATCCGAGGGTCGCTGCGAGTGATTGAGGGTCACCCGCATGCGACCCTCATGGACCACCCAGAGGGTCACTGCCAGGTCTAAATCTGCTCCTTTCTTACTCAATTAGGCATAGGAGAGTATCCAGTTGAGGTCAGGAATTCGAGGACCGGAAACTGATCGATCGCGACGAGAAGAAGGGGTTCTTGATCTTTTATCTTTTAGATCGAATTCGATAATGCTGATGTCTTCACACGCTGGATTCTTACCTTTACGGCTAGGCAAAAATGAGGCTCGGGCCGACATCTTATCTGATCTTCTTCTTACTACCAAAAGTGGAATCTGATTGGTTACTCAGTTGGCGCCAAGATAGGTATCCGCAGGCGTGTACTACTAAGCTAGTAAATAGAGATAAGATTTATTATTATATCAAGCTGGAAAAACAATAAAGAAAAATGAAATTTAAAGGTCCGAAACAACGATCACAATAAATCTGGAGAAAGGAGAGAGAGAGAGAGAGAGAGCTAAAACTGCCAGGATCGAGGTGTAGGCGCCTGACACGCGTGCACGTGATCCCACTTACGCTTACCCCGCACCTCCTACACCTACGCCGTAATCACGTGACCCAAAGTCCACCGATTCTGACAGTAGTCTTTAGATATTTTTATATTATTAATATACTATAATAAGACAGTTTATATTATTATTATTGGAAGTTATTGAATATAGATACTCTAAAATCTTTTTATAATGTTTATATATAATCTTTAGTATATTGTCTATATTATATATAATCTAATAATAGTTTTATTAAATCTCTATATAATGTGCTAAGTCTTATTTAAATTTACCTCTCTAACTAAAATCGATTTAAAGTTACTAGTCTATCTATTTAGTATATACTATTTGATTGTAAAGAATAAATATTTTTTTTTGATCGAGATTAATATATTAAAGGGAGGAAGGAATTGAAGGTGGTTTAATTAGTCGTTAAAGATATTTATTAATAGTAGAATTAGTTAAAGAGAGAGTAGATAGTTAAGCTAATATAAATAACAAATTATTAGCCTTTTTATTATAAAAGGAAAACACAAAATTAGAGTACTAGTTTTAAAATATAATCTATGTCAGGATCGCTGGACTTTGGTGCTGGACCTGGATGCCTGGGTGCCTGGCGGTCTGCTTGGCGGGGCAGGCTTCGGTGAGGTCACGTGATCTGTCACGTGCACAGGAGGATGGGAGACCCCATTACATAGATCCTGACAGCTCTCTCTCTCTCCTTTCCTTCCTCAGTTCTATTATCGTCGTTTCTTGGACTATAAAAGCGATCTTTTTCTTTTGTGCTTTGCCTGCCTGACAATCTAATTAAGATTTAAAGAATTAATATTAAGTAAAGTAAACAAAAGAGCACGTTTATTATTTACAGTTAAGAATAGTTAGAAGAGATTAGAAATAATAGATTAACTAGGACTAAAGACTATTTTCTTGTTAATTAGTTTATAGAGTATATAATAAATAGATATTAGTATATAATCTAGAAAAAAACTAGTGAAAACCCAAGAAACCTAATAAAATCATCAGAAAATCTAATAAAAGCTTAATTCCCATATTATTTCTCAAAAATTCTCAAAAATATTTCACACAAACTTCTCAACTTCAATTAAAAGCTTTATAACTAAAGGGATCTAGAGTATATATAATAATTTCTAAACTTTTCAAGGCTGAATTTATCTTCAAACTTTTTTTTAATTAATAAAATTCAGAAAAAAAAGGATATTCTACTATATTTTTTTCTAGTTTTATACTATGTAAAATCTACACTAACACTATATATTGTAAATATATATTTCTATAATCTGTATATTATAATTCTTAGAATATCAAATTAAGTACAATTTTAATAGGAATTGTAGATACCAAAAGGTAATTAATACTAAACCAAGCTATTTATCCTCATAAAGAATTATTTTTCACAAAGTTTCATTACTTCTGCTACTAAATATCGAAGTCTGTCTTGATGTGACCAAAACAATAGAAAATTACAGTATTCAATCCAGATGGGTAAAGCACTTTATACAGTGAGTTATGCAAAAGTTGGGTCCAGTTGGGTTTTTATTGGGTTATCTGGGGCACCGGCAGTTGGGTCCGGTGCTGGGTCGGGACCTTCGACCCATTTCCGGGTCGTGCGGAAGTCTACATGAGATACGCAATTACGCGCGCTACCAAATGGTGCTACGTATTGGTATGATAATGGTAAATTGGGGTAGATAGATTGCAAAAGATTGATAAAATTGGAAGAAATGCGTGATCGGAAGAACTCTGTGGCGGATCCATATGGCCGAAGGTCATGTGGGTCCGCAGGAAGCGAAGCTGGAAGGAACAGACAGATATGTATGGCGCTGTATCCCTGCATTAGCCACCGCCACATCCACCACCGCATCCTCCGCCGCCACACCCTCCCCCGCTGGACCCTCCGCCGCCACATCCACCCCCGGCGCCAGCGCCCCCGGATCCGGATCCACCCCCACCGCACCCTCCTCCATCGTACCCTCCTCCTCCTCCTCCTCCTCCCCCTCCACCCCCGCCTCTCCCAGAATACCTTGTGTAGCTACGCGGTGGGCTATATGTATCCGCCCAGGTCTGGATGTACGCACTCCCGCCGTTCCCTGTATCCACAATGGGATGCACACAAGATTGCACCTCTGACGGCACGATCGAGCACCACGACCCGTCATACCGCTCCTCCTGGTTCAGCTGCTCCTTCCAAATCGCGTCTGTTTCTAAGGCCATCTCGAGCACAAGCCGCTTCACCAGGAGCCGCCTTGCCTTATGCACCTCCACCCATCCCATATAGTCCGGCCTCGGCTCCCGCGCCATCTCATGCTCGAGACTCTCCACCTCGCGCCGCTTGTGTATAGACTCCTCCACCAGCGACCGGCGCTTATCTTCTAGCTTCCGCAGTCGCTCCTTTTGCGACCGGCGGTAGTAACGCAGTTCGAGTAGCCGCAATGTCGGCTTGACGGACTCTTTCGCTGTCGCTACGTTCGCGACCGCCGCGTTGAGCGCGCTCACCGCCGCATGTGTGTCGCGTATGCTGGCCTGCATGGTTGCGAGACGTTCGGTTTTCTCGTCGATCTCTCTCTTGATATATTGATGGCTGTCGTCGTACGCGGTCAGTTTGGCCACCATGGCCTCCCCTTTCTGGTTACACGTGGCTTTACATCGTTCGATCTCGGCCTTCTTGACCGTACTTTCCGGGTCAAAGTAGGACTCGCCGTATCGCTTTGCCCAGAGGCGCGCTGTGTCGTCCTCCCCCGTGGAGCGCGTCATCGTGCAGATGGTATCGACGTGGTCAATATGTCGCCCCACTTGTGTCTTACAGTATTTGCCGTACGCGAGTGGTGAGAGCTGGTGAGTGTGCCAGAGGAGATCGATGTCGAGCGTCGGGACAAGAGTACATTTGACATCTTTCATGAGCTGCAGGAATTTGATGTAGCGGGAGGTATGGTCTGGAATTAGCCCTGGAACCGGAGTCAAGGCCAAAATTCGGTCCACAAGACCTTGCTTGCCAAATTGTCGTTGAGGTCTGTTCCATAGGTCAAAAACAGGGAACCCAAACATCGCACGGGAGGATTCAAGTAGGGTTTCACGGTTGGTCTCTCTGTTAGAGAACGTCGTCTTGCAACCTGGACAGATGAGCCTGGCTCGGCCAACCCGGTATTCAGACCATTCAGTCATTCGGATGACATGTGTCTTCTTCTTGCAGTGCTTCGAGCCACACCTATACCCGTGGATGTCCGTGGCATTCTCAGCAGTGATGTATGCGTGGTCTCCAGCAGGAGTGAACTCGACAATCTGATAAGGGATATTGGGATACCAACGCATCCATACACGTTGACTTGCATCATCTGTATTGATTGCACACATTCTTGCAAGAGGAAATTCGATCTCTGCTAACCAAAGAGTCCCGTAACTTGAGTCGATCATGGCGTCGCTGTGGAATTTGAATGGCGAAAGGAGATGGCCATAGAATATGATCGCTACGTCCCTGTCAAATGATGTTAGTACATACCCCGATGGCCCAAATGAGGAATGACAGCGCGGGAATTAGGATTATCACACCATGGTGGGAGCGGCCACTGATCCTTGGGTGCTTTTTCGCCATAATATGCGATCCACCTGACTAACATATCAAGGTACCTCGCGTACCGGACCTCAGCGCTCATAAGGAGACATTGCACTCTCCATTTACCCTCTTGTTCCTGGCCTGAAACGCCAGGTGGAGGGAGCGGGTAACTATCCGCGTCCCTACCGGGGTTCTTCGCATCCTCTAAGATGCGCTTGAACTTTCGCATGATCGTGAGATGGTCCTGGACAAGATCAGACGGGGCTAACATCACCTGAGCACCAGACAAGTAAACCAAGAGTAATGACGCACCTTAACACGCTTTCTTGAGCTAAACTCGGGGCTGAGCGGGAGAGTCACTGGTGAAGGCTCCATGTCTCAAGGTTGCACTGCACCCCTTTCAGCGGTCGCGAGGGAAGATGTGAGGACCGTAGATGTAGGAGAAGATCAATGTGGGGTGACGAGGTATTAGTGGTGTTCTATACGAGCATGCGCCACACTGCTCCGGCTACTCTTCGTAAAGACCTGGGCACGGATGGAGTACTTCGTATAATTCTGATGAACCATTCCCAGAATAGAAAGAGAACCTACTCCACACGAGGCCGCCTCCAGGGCGCATCGGTAATGCGCTTGTTATTGTTCTCTTCAACATAATCAATTATCACCCAACCAAGAAGCCAAAATCAGCTGACAGTCGAAGATCGAAACAAAAGTCCAGTGACACGCTCGTGCGCTCGAAAAGCTGATGTTTCGTTTCGACTCATATAATTCGGGAACACGCGATATGCTTTAGATTCCCGCATACACATTTATCAGCAGGGCCGATGACAATCGATCTCCGGAGATATCTGGGAAGCAAGGGACGACGCATGGGGCTTTGAGTGAGTCCAGGATCAAAGGCTACTGCGGGGATCCACACACTCAGCACGGTTCAAGCCAATGAAACCAAAGAACCCATCCGCAATGCCTGCAAGCCGTGCTGCCGTGGGACTGTCTCAAGACAGATCTACGGAGTATGCCTAGAATGCTTGGACGAGGAGAGACGGAGCACTGAAAGCCAGCTCATGTGACGTATGGCCTTCTGTGCTGTCTGTACTCTTCAATGGGCCGTTCTGTGACTAACTTTCTCTCAAAAGCATTCTCCCATGAGCTAAGCCTTCTCGAAAGAAATCTCTTTTTTTCTGCCTTCCAAGTCACCCTTCCTCTTAAAACCATTTACCTGGCAGTGATGCATTGTCAATGTCCTCTCATTTCACACCATACAGGATACTCCTCATAGTTCCATCATATGTACAAGATCAATCTTTCATCCCAGCACCACTTCTATTAGAATTCTTTCGGGGCTCCATATGTCTTGTCTGTGTCATGCTCTTGGTACAAATCCCAGTATTTGCATGGTACAAAACTCATCAGTTTCCTTGATAAACTACCGTTTTTGCCATGTATCCCTTTGTGCTCCGGAAAGGGCTTTCACATGCTGGGCTGCTTGTAACGGGGTTCTTCTCCATACTTCCCCGTGACAATGGATGCCTGATATTCCAGGCAATAAGAACTCATGCCTCAGGGGTTCGGAGCTCATGGATCGAGAGACTACCGAAAAGGATCAAAACGTCATACAAATCGATGACGAATCGACGCAGACTTCCTACAGCTCACAAGACTTAATGGCTCCCTCGATGGATGGGGTATTTAAAAGAGAGAAGCGAGGCTCCTCTCTGATTCTAATCAAGAATCAGTCTTGTATAAAAAGACAATACGATAGAATCCCCTCCTATTTACTATTGATTCATAACCGTATCGACGTCTATTCTTATCCTTCCTTTTACCAAGTTAACAGACATTACACCTGACAACGTATAACCTTCACAATTTCTAATTCTTCCATTTTCAACTCCCTGAAAGGAAGGAATATACAGACGCGATCGATCGGACTAGTTAAAGAGGATCCTATTCAGCAAGAGATACAAGAACAACAAAGAATGGAGTCTGTTCTAGCTATCGAAACTGAAGAAATCCCCACTACAAAGACGGGAATCGATACCAAATCAATACCAATTCGACCAGAAGACATTCCTGAGAAAACACAACACATATTAGCCCAAAATACCCACTACAAAGAACTCACAGCTGCTACTAAAAACTTGAAGAAAGCAAAAGATACTTACAAAGCCACAAAGAGACAGCAAGAGCGTTAAACAACTTTTTCGAACGACCCAAACTCGTCTTTATCAGAATCCAATAAAAGCAAATTTAGCAACGATTCGTCTCAAAGACGACCCTAAAACTAATAATAGAAAAAAGAGATTAAACAATATATCGATACTTTTAAAGAACATTTTAGTATTTCCCAAAAAGAGATCTAGATCTTTAACCTCAAAAATCTCTTCCTAGAAACACCAAACAAATATATTTCTAACAAACAAAAGATACTTGTAGCAACAAATTTCCTATATACCAAATATAGAAACAAATAGAAAGTCCACCGCAAACAACAACTTAAATTAGCTCAAAATTAAGGCTTATTTACTACTTAAACATTATCACTTCTTAATAATACTTTCAACCTAAAATCTAAGATTATCAGCAATCTTAAAGCAACTAAACAATAAGATTATTAAAGCCCAATAGAGTTTCTTTCTTATCTAGAATCATTAAAAAAACATCTCCTAACAAAAAAAAAGGAAATCTTAGCTTATAAACTATTTAGTAAACTTCAAAAATCCCTACAAAATAGGATCATTAAAAACCAAAAGAGATCTAAACTTCTTAAGACCCAGAACGAAATATCAAAAATAATAGAGACTTTTTAGCATATTTTACATCAAGACAAATCAAAAGAGAAATAAAAACAAACTAATACTAATTTAGAATCTTAATATACTTTAACAAAACAAAAAAGCTTTAGAAACAATTTTAGAAACTATCATAACAAAAAGACTTTATATCTTTAAAATAACCTCAAAATTAAAGAAAAAGCTAACTAGATAAAAAAAAACATTAAGAATAAATCATTTAATAAAAGAAACTAGCCTAAATTAAAAATAAAATACACCAAATATAATTATATAAATCACGAAACAAAAAATTACTTTATAAAAACTAAAATATAAAAAATTATATCTTAGAAAAGCACTAATAAATCAAAAAAAATTAAAAAAACAAAATAGACCCTAATACTTTATCTTTTTATCCCTAAATTAAAATAACAATTAGACTTTATATCTTAATCTTAATTAATAATATTCATACTAATATAAATCTTAACATATATATAAAAGTCAATCTAATTAATAAAGAATTTACACAAAAATATTAACTCTCTTATATCCTATTCAAATCTCCTTTCTTAACTAGAATTATTTTAAAATATATACAAACTAAAGATATATATTAGATTTCCTTTACTATAATAGATTTAAGAGACACTACTAAAACGTTTAAACAAGCCTATATTATAATTAACAAAGATCCTTATTTAAAAGGATCTCTAGTATTTCTATCAAAAACAACTTTCAACAATCTCAATATTTATTTAAAACTAAAAATATCCTTATAATAATCTAAAAATAAAGATTTTAAACTATTACAATCTCATTAGTTTACAAAAGTAGTAAAAAATAAAATAATAATTTTCGCAATCTTAAAACTTCTAAAAGAAATCTAGTTTCTAGATAAAAAGGAATTAAAATTATCTAACCTAGATAATATTCTTTTAAAACTAGAGACGTTTTATGACATATTTAACCACGATAAAGCAAGATTACTTTCAAAAGTAAAAAAACTTAAACTATACCATTAAAATTAAAAACAATAGAACTATATCGTACAGATCTATTTACCCTCTTTCACAAAACGAACTTTAAATATTACATATATATATTATTAATAATTTAAAGAAAGAAAAGATCTAATTATCTAAAAGCCTTACTAAAATACTAGTCCTCTTTATTTCTAAAAAAAATAGAGGACTAAAACTTTACGTCGATTATCGAAAACTTAATTATATATCAGTCAAGAATTAATATCCTCTCTCTCTAATATCAAAAATTTTAAACAGAGTTACAAGATTAAAATATTTCTCTAAGATCGATATCAAAGATACCTATTATTAAATTCGACTTTGTAAAAGAGATAAATAGAAGACAATATTTCATATCTAATATAGCTATTTTAAATATATAGTTATGCTATTTAGATTATATAATATCTTAGCAATCTTCTAAAGTTATATTAATAATACTTTAGACGAATTAGTAAATACAATTTGTATCATATATCTTAACGATATCCTAATATTCACAAAGACCTATAATTTATATATAAAAGCCCTTCAAAATATTTTTAAAAGATTTCAACGTTTTAAACTATATATAAAACTATTTAAATACCAATTTTATTATAGGAAAGTTAAATTTCTAGACTTTATCTTAACTCTAAATAAGATTAAAATAGACAATATAAGAATAGAAACAATTCAAAACTAAAAAAAACTAACTACACTCTAAGAAATACAACTTTTCTTAAGATTCTACAACTTCTACTATCAGTTTATTAAATATTATTTACTTATTACACTCCCTCTTATCTTAATAATAAAAAGATTTAAAAATAAAAAGAAACCAAGACCTATATAACTATCACCTAAAAAAAAAAGATACATTTCAAACCTTAAAAAACATCTTTTTATCAGTAGACCTTTTTTACCATTTTAATCTAATACAACAAATTTATATTAAAATAGATATATCTAAATTCGATATATCAAGTATTATATCACAGCTAAATAATAATAATATCTAATATCCAATAACATTCTAGTCACAAAAATTCACTAGACTAGAATTAAACTACACAACCCTAGACTAAAAACTCTTTACTATTATACATTTCTTTAAATATTAGAGACAATATTTAGATAAATACTAATATCTCGTTAAAGTACTATCAAATCACGCTAATCTACAAACTTTTATATCCCAAACTAAACTTATAAGACGATAAGCTTATTAATATATATATCTAATACCCTTTAAATTTATTATTAAATATAGATTAAAGAAGACAAACCTTATAGATAGGTTATCAAGAATCCTAAATTCTAAAGAAATTAATCCAGGCTTAAAGCTTATAGACACAATTTAAAAATATTTCAACACTAAATCCCTCAAAGACCTAGTTCAAATCAAAAAAACAACTATCCTAAATTTAGACTATCTAAATACAAATAAAATTAATATTACTATAGATACAAAGGACTAAAAAGCCCAGTCTAATTCAATTAAGATAACCAAATAAAAAAATAAAAGCCTAGATATCTAATTTTAATATGAATCTATAGATTACAGTTATAAAGATATATCTATAGATATAAATAG